TGGAAGATCAGGTTAAAGTCCCGTAGATAAGTCCGTCACTGTCGCGATCGCAGCCGTGCAAACATTGAGCGGTCGCTCTTAACCGAAAGCGGTTGTTACTGGCAGAAGGAGTACATTATAAAAGAACATTTCCAGCGGATGCGACTACAAAACCAAACCTCGCCAGTACAGTGATCGAAGAACTGGTGAGAAATTGGATAACAGAAGTTTGGGTTGAACAACAACACACGAAGAGAGGAAATCTTTCTCTGTAGCACATTTACTTGGACCATTTTTAAGTAGATAATGTACGTGCGTTAAGCTAGAAATAAAACTAGAAAACACTGAAAATGTCGATGACATCTGATAGAAGGCTTTTAAGTTCAGTGAAACACCACTATCCTCCGATTCTCTTATTATTCAGTCCTGCGTTCGCTCCTTCTTTCTTCTCTCTCACACGCTGGCCCCATACCAAATGCTACTTCACCGTTTCTCTTGTGGTATTATTTTTTTCGCTGTTTCAGAAGATCAGTGCAACAAGGATGATCCAGCATGGTCCTATCATTCTGTTGGTGATAACAAGAGCTTTGGTATCCGCACAGCAGGACTTGATGAAAAAGCTGATTCGTGCGCTATGTTGGTCTGCTATGCCAGAGATCTGGAAGGTAAGTTGAGACAAACCGGTCTTTTTCGAATAAATATTCTGGAGCAACTTCAAGACGCATCTTTTTTTTGTTGCACTTTGCTGAAGCTTTATTTCTATTAACTTTGTGAAACTAAAAGAGTTTTTCCTGCAGAAGAATTTATGCCCTACGTTGACGAAGTAGCAAAGTTGTCGGTCGAAAATCTGCGCTTCCTATTCGTGGACAGTGTTCGCTGTTCGGCAGCTGAAACCCTACCATGGTTACTAAAATGTGTCAAAGTTCAGGTAGGCTGTGTTGTAAAGCTCCATGGTTTTGATGTGTTTCTAGTGAGTAGATCGGGAGGTAAACGAAAAGGGACGTGCTTTAACTGATAGGATCATCGTAACGTCGCACTAGTGCTTTGTTAATCTTAATGTTTTCAGGGCGTAGAATTCCAGCGTCGTTTATGGGTGGAGTTTTTGCCTGCCCTTTGCTCGGCATTGGAAGCCGAGAACGAGGTGGAGGTGATTGAAAGTTTGATTGATGCTCTCGCGGAAAGTGTTCTTCATCTTGGAGCCGCGGTATGTTCTTGCTTTTTTTCGCTCAACACTTACTATAACGCTCTGCCGGTGGAACATACCGCATTGGTAGCTGGGTGAAAGTCGATAAATCGAATTGGTCCCAAAACACCCCGGAGACCGGAGAGATAAGCAAATGTGCACAGAGGGAGGAGCGAAGTGAGGAAGCCACACCCCAGCGGGCGGGCGGAGCGTGCCTGATATGGATAAAGAAAAAATAAAAATAAAATACGAAATCGCAACTCGGTCCGAGAGCATTCCAGGGAGAAAAGTTTTTTTTCTTATCCACCTCATCACAGCTTCTCACAACTTTTGATAAGGATGGGATCGCCAACCGACGCCGGCGCTCCTTTCTCCGAGGCTTGACTTCGCCGATCGGGCGCGGGGTTGCCGCGCATTCCTCCTTGGTTGTATTGGACCACATGGGTAACGTCTGGCATCTCCCTCATTCATCTCTCACATCTGTTCACTTAAGCAACATTTTTATTGACGACGATCACATAAATGGTATCAGTGTTGAAAGCACTAGGTATGGTACTACTGAATAAAGAACGTTGACCATGTATACAGGTGAGATATCTGCTCAACATTGACAGTCCCAACACAATGAGAAAAGAAAAGCGCAGCGAAATCGAGCCACATAAAGAGGAGGGTCGACGTAAGCCGGCGTTCCGACTGGTATTCAAGTAAGAGTGAAGATGCTTTCGGACATAATCTTATTGCGTTCATTTGGTTAGCTTGGTGGCTAATATGCTTCTGATTCTAAATTATTATACTAGTTTGATCAGAAAATATGCACCATTTGCAAGCGCGTTACTTCTGCAAATCGCAGCTCTCCCTGAACGTTTTTATTCAAAGCAAAGGCTTATTACCTTCTACAAACTTGCAGAGTTTCACACATTAGCAGGTCTCGTCTACCCATTCGAGAGAAAACGGCTCTTTTTAGTGAAGTCACACACTTCCATTCATCCCGCCGACTAATCCTCGGGGGATCGGGTTAATGGCTCTTCCTCGATGTGTGCAAGTGGCTTGGAACAGTAGCCTTAGATACCTACATGTTCACACCATAGTTTGACTGCTTAAGTGGTCTCGCACTGTGCTGCAAGCCAATTTCAGCAGTTCGTCTTGGCCGTTTACAACATGGTCATACAGACCCCGCGCTCGAGCGATCTATGGTCGTGCTTCCTTATGCAAGTAGTCCAGCCCACAAACTTAGATATCGTCCTATTTTCACGACTCCACAGTGAGTGGGGTGGGTGCCACAACCGTCGAAAGTTCTGGATCTGACACCCACTTAGTTGGCCCGCCTACCCAACAAAGGTCCTCTTCACACCGAAGGCAAAGGCGCTCAGTCGTAGTTTGCTGGAGCAGCGAGCATAAGTCCGAACTCGTGTTCATTTCTGCCGACCGCTCGACCGGTGTGTGTATATTACACTGCAGATAGCTCGGCCGTCAATTGGCCTTCCTTCCTTCCTTAGGGACTTCTCTTCAGAACCGTTTGGCACATCCCGAGATTACCCCGACAAAATCTTCGATATTAAGAGTTAGTTTTAAAAGTTCAAAGTGCTATGAATACGAAATGGATGCATCCGTTTTTCCACGGTTTAGACTATAAGAGCTTCTAAAAACATCAGTTATTCTATCTATATACAGAAGTTTGCCTCCATAAAGTTGTTCGCAAGTTAAGAAATACCCATGGAACAGAATAGCAAAAAAAAAGCGCGAGGAATTGCCTAAGGTGCCAAAAATGAGGACGTTCAAGCCGATCCTTTGAATCGCTCTTGACATACATGCTAGGCGAGTGCACCATTGTTGTTGCCGTCAAAATTCCATGTCGCTAATTTAATTGATTTTCTTTCTAGGGGCTCACTAAAGAGGATGTGGAGAAAATCGCCACTGTCATTTCGGAACAAATAAAAGAGCATGAGAAACGCCGTCTGGAAGCTGAAGCCGAAGAAGCTGAAGAGGTGGTTTTCATCGCCCGTATCACATGTGCTCCCTTTGAGCATTCGTCATATAATAGTTCCCTGGCGTGCCAATGATAACCCACTTTCCTTTCAAGGATGCTGACGTTGATGATTTGAAAGAAAAGCTAAGCGATGAGGCGGAAATGGAAGGAGAAGTTCTCGCACGAATTTCGGACCTCATCCACAACATGTTTGAGGTGCAGATTCTCATATTTGTCGATTTTCAAGGTGAAGGAAGACAGAAAGGTCTTTTGTTTAGACTTTTGGTGAGTGCTTCTTCGACTGTATGGAGCCACTTCTACCCGAAATATTACAACTCGTCGATATTCGGCGACCTTATCCATCGCGGCAGTATGGTCTCTGCTACATTGACGACTGTATTGAATTTGCACCGAAAGTAAATTACTTGTAGTTGCTTTCTTTAGAAATATGAGGGATTTTGCCTGGGATTCAGCTGACAAGAAGAATGTGTTAGGCATACAAACGCACATCGTGTTTAGCGTGTTTTTGTGTCATACGAGTAACTTTGTCGCCATCGAGCGTTCATATCAGTGCATTAGATTGAAACTGTCAGCCATTTAGTCGGCTGCTCGTCAAAGCTACTCATTTTTTATCTAAAGTTTTTAAACCGTCCTTGTACTTCGGCAAAATCCACTAGAGTTGCTCAATCTAATAACAAATGCTTTCACAACATAGAGGTGGGTGAGATCGTAGAGATCATAGCTGCATTGATCCTTGAAGATGCGGTCTCCTTTACCTAGCTAAATTATGCTTCACAATATATTGGGATTTTCGCTATGGGGATGGGATTTAGAGCGAAAACAAATTGTGACGACCTTAAAAGGAGGATTCTGGAAAAGTCAGCAGTTGACCGCTTCAAAAAAAAAACACGGGCCCAGTTGCAGCTACCTATAATGCTTTTTCAGAGATGTGCACGATATCAGGACCAATATGTTCCTATTATGCTCAAATGCCTCGCTGATGAGTACCCCGAAGTTCGGCAAGCAGCCGCTTATGGATTCGGAATTATGGGTATGATAGGTGGAGCAGACTACCTGAATACCGTGACAAGTGCTCTTGAACCTTTAGCCGCTATGGTGAGCAGGTAAGTACCTTATCGGCGAGGTATACTAGGCAATATAGTAATGTCGTTTTTAGCAAATGATGCGTTGTAACAATAACATAATACCCAGTTCAAAAAATATCCCCATCTCGATCGCTTCACTCTGCTCATTCACGTTATTTCTTTTAGTCCTGACGCGAGATCTACAGAGGAAAGCTCTGGCGCTACAGACAACGGTATCGCTGCCGTCGCGAAGATTTTGAAGTATTCCGGTGCTAATGTTGATATTGCTCAAGTCAGTTGCATGTCACCTAGTTTCGTATTTTGTTTTTTTTTCTATTTTTGTTGTCGTAATCAGCAAATGTGGTGTTTCAGACGGGATTTTTTTTTCTTGCCAAAGGAGGGCGCTAGGTGGAATCACGTGATTAGGCTTACCTTCCGTCCATTCGGTCGTTTCTGGAGCATGAAGATGGCTCAGACCGATGGGTTCGAAGGTTAGGCAGCGTTCAGACTTGTAGCGCTACAGCGTCGCGCTACAGCGTCGCGCTACAGCGCCGCTTCGCAACGTACTGCTATTTCCAACGTTAGGATGATTAGAGTTGCTTACAGAGAAAAGTGGGAAGGTTGCTGGAGTTTTCTTGAGAAATTCACGGAAAGGTGAGACTGATACAGCTGTAACTATCTGACCATCCTTGACAGTTACTCCATTAGTCACTATTTTTCTGGTACTGCTTTTAGCGTAACAGTGTCCTTCTGTCCTATTAAGAGCATTTTCTGCAAAAAACACCCAAAGAGTACTCGCGCCACCTAAAAACACGCACGCATGTTTTTTTACCGGAGACACAAGAACCATAAAGGAACTTCTTGTTTGCCTTGTGTTAACGCATTGGTGACCAGACAGTCTTCGCGTGCCTGTTGTGGGAGATAAGGCCATTCTGCTGCCGACAAATGCGACTCAATACTGATACGCTCCTAGGCCAAAAAAGTACAAGAAACTGTCAAAGCTTTGTTGGCTGTGAATGCCTCGAAAACCGGCATAAATCTTTTTCCTGTGATCCAGGCAGAGATTAGGGCAACTCTGAAAAGCCAGATTCGCTTTCTCTTTTGTATTAAATTAATTAATATCACACATTCAAACTGCGAAATAGCCTTGATACCATATATATATACAGATCTGACTCCGCCCACTTAACAATGAAGTTACGTAGCTGAATTTTTATAACTTTTTCGACGTAGTTCTTTTCACATCCAATCTTCACAAAACGAATAACCATGCACAGCACACCAGGCCCCGCCCCTCTGACCCCGCCCACTTGTGTTTATCGCGGAATTTTGGTTTTTCTTCTGATTTTCGCTTTTTTAGGCTTTAGCGATTGGCTCCGCCCACCAATGGAAGCTCCGCCCACTTTGGGGAAGCCCCGCCCACTTTTCAAAAAATGATGCAAATCGGCGCTAGTGCGTAGCTGCGGATTACGGCTTCTCCTCATTCGCTCAGAACAAAGTTTCCCTTTTTCCGGTTTTTCCCTTTTTTTATTCTATGTGCCGGGAGAGGCCGTAATCCGCCAGTACGGACACTAGCCCGCCGATTTGCATCATTTTCGAAAAGTGGGCGGGGCTTCCCCAAGTGGGCGGAGCTTCTATTAGTGAGCGGAGCCAGTCGCTAAAGATTAAAAAAGCAAAAATCCGGAACAAAAACCAAAATTCCGCGATAAACACAAGTGG